CACTCCTTCCTCTATTGCAGCAGACACTTTGTTAAACACTTGTGTGTTTTATGTTTGTACAGATAGCTCTTTCATATTTTTAATGCGTTGTCTTTTTTTCTACAGCCACATACTAGTGACTAGTTAATTAGTTCAAGGTATTAGTAACTAATAAAGTTATAACCTCAAGTTTTTGATTGTAACGCAGTACTGTGCACTGTTTGTAAAGCCCCTTTGAAACAATAACTATTGTGAAAGCGCTATACAAATAAACCTGGATGGAATACTCTATATCAAAAGCCTTTAAATGGTTTTATAGTTGCTTTAGACCAGATTTTAGATTCTTATTGTAGGTATTACTGTTATTTTTGCTATTGTTGTTAATATTTGAAGGTCACGAGTGGTTGTGTGAGCATTTCATATCATACTGTGTGTGACTGTATTTGAATTTGACTTTTGATTTAAATTGAGTGAATTTCACACTGACTTTTATAGATTTAAAAAAACAACAAGCAAAAACAGCAATTTTGCTCATTTGAATATGCAAAGATAACATTAGTTGAGTTAAAATGGCAGCATAATGCAAATATATGGATATTTAAATCTTTATAATGGTTGTTTATGGTTAAAGTTATTGCACAAATGTGTTTGTGCGCGAGATATTCCAGACAATTATGTTGTTTTATTAATAAACGTATTTAAATTATAAAATATAATAATAAATGATTGAATAAAATTCATTCATAAAAGGTATTACATACAGATATTTTTCAATAAAGATATTCTTGGTTAATATTTACAATATGTTTTATATAATATTAAATATATAAATATAATAAATATAGGTAATAATTTATACATTCATGTTTGTGTGTGAGAAAATCCAAACAATTATATTGTTTTATCAATAAACAAACTAATAAATAAATATTTAAATGATAAAATGTAATAAAAATTTATAAAATATTAATATAAAATATTAGGGAATTTAATAGTTTTTTTATATATATATATATATATATAAAAATATGCCAGGCTAATATTTTAATATTTACAATACTTTTTTTTATAAAATAATAAATATATAATTTATAATATAGGAAATAATGTATGCGTTTATGTTTGTGTGTGAGAAAATCTAAACAATTATATTTTTTTATCAATAAACAAACAAATAAATATTTAAATAATAAAATGTAATATTTAATGATAAAATATCAATATAAATATAAAATATTAGGATATTTAATACAGATTTTTTTTTATAAAAATTTGCCAGGTTGATATTTTAATATTTACAATACATTTTATAAAATATTAATTATATATTAAATATAGGTAATAAGGTACGTTTGTGTTTGAGAAAACCCAAGTAGTCATATTGTTTTATCAATAAACAAACAAATATTTAAATGATAAAATATAATAATAAATTATTAAATTGAAAGTATTTTATACAGATATTATAAATTAAAATATGCCAGGTTGATATTTTAATATTTATAACAAATTTTATAAAATAATCATTTAACATAGGATTATTATCTTATAACAATTACATAAATAATGATATTCTAGATGCAAAAATCTGTAGATAATTTTGCTTTAAAATATGCCTCTCGTTATTATAAAATTTTAAATGATATAAGGTTTAAATATATGATTATTATATAATAATATCTACAATACACTATGATATTTCAGAGACAAAATTGCCAAAATAATTATTAAAATTGGGATAAATATAAGACAAATTTATATATATAATATACAAAGCAACATTATGCTAGTTCCTATAGTAATCAGTGGTAAAGAAATAACCATATGTCTATTTTTCTATTAATATATCAGTCTGTCTGTACAGGAAGTCTGTCAGTCGCTGGCTGTCATATTAAGGTTAACCTCTTAATAACTTCAGACTAACCAGGACAAACCATGCTCAGACTGTCATCCAATAATCCTGACACACACACATACTCATTGGTAAGGTTTTAAGTTCAAGCTTGTTACACAGCTCTCTCTCTCTCTCTCTCTCTCTCTCGCTCTCTCTCTAAATAACAGACGATGAAAAGAGCAGAGCGAGTGAATGAGAAGGTCAGAGAGACGCTCGTTTCCTGTGAGTCCCACTTTTCTTCCTTTTCCTTCATCCCTCTTTCCCTCTCTGAGCTCCATTCACTCTTTCCAGAAGAAAACACACACACACACACACACACACACACACACACACACACCTCAGCAGCGAGAGGACGAACACGGTCACAGGCTCACATATCAGTCAAGTGTTTGTTTGAGACACAAGAGGACAATCTTTTATCCCACACACACACTAGCACAGCTATCTTTATGGGGACTTCTCATAGCTATAACGATGTTTCTACTGTACAGACTGTATATCCTCTCCATCTACCTCAAAACCAACCCTAACAGGAAACAATCTGCAGTTTTACACCTTCAAACTACTTCATTCTCTCGGATATAGGAGCCGTTTTCCTCACGGAGACCAAAAAAAGACTCAAAATTTACTGGTATTGCTATACTTGTGGGGACATTTGCTCCACACAGTTTAAGGAATACAACATACAAACACACATAAACATGAAACAAATGGAGGCCAGTGAAAGGGAGTGACACACACACACACAGCGCTCTGAGTGCTGGAGTTCTAACATGTGTTTATGTAAAGCTTCCATCATTTAGCCGATCTTATCTGAGAAGCCATCTAAAGACCCTTCACACACACACACACACACACACACACACACACACACACACACACACACACACACACACACACACACACTCCGCCCAGCGCAGAATTAAACACCATCATAAAAACTCTTTAAAGTTGCTGTAATGAGAAACATCTGTACGCAGGAACTCTGCCTAACCAAACTCAACCAAACCAATCCCTCTCTCTCGCAGAAAACACAAACACACAACTCAGAGCTCAGGATGACACACTCCAGCAGGCTTGTGCGGATCACACACACACACTGATATAACCTTGTTTAGACAAAAGTCAATGTAAAATCTGTGTTTTATTTTCTATTGTTGAAGCTAAATCGGCAAATGAATGTACTAAAATGACCTTAAAAATAAATTTAATAAATAAACGAAACGCTTAATAAACTAAAAACAACACATGAAAAAAATGATGGTAAGATTTTAGTTGAAGTAACAATTCACACCATTTACTACCGGCTTATTACCTGTCTATTATTAAGATATTAACAGTTTATTAGCACTATCAAGTATGCTCTTATTTTTCATTCCAAGTCCTACCCAAAGCCCAAACCTAAACCCAATTAATACCTTACTAACTAATAATGAGAAGCTAATTAGTATTGAGCTAAACGTATTAGTTAATAGCTTGTCAATAGCATGAACTCTACATTAACAAAGTAATTACCAAAATAATTAACAACAATACTATATATAAGGGTTGTTGCGATGCCATTAATAAATCTTACAACACTATTACCAGCTGAAGAATCATGATACCAAATAGTATAGCGATGCTCTAACTCATAACTCAAATTATAAAGAAAATTGTCAGAAATACTATGTTTTATGGTATAATAGGCCTACTTGAATTTAATTCATAATTCCCTTAGGGACAAAAAGTGTTATTTACATGTCACTTCACTAAAAACGTATTTATTTGATTGTTTATTTTGTAGATAACCAACCAACAAAAAATACATTGAAATAAAGATACAAATTAGCTGCTTGTTAAGTGTGACGTCACGCTAAGCGGCTTCCGGGTCCAATCGTTCTATTCAACTACATGGGGAGACTCGTGAAATGCTATTAATAAACGTATACAAAGCGATTTAATACTTTCGAAAATCACGATCGCAGTATATATGTCCATGCCTAATATTCGATGGCCAGAGAGTGATTCATTTTTTTATAAATTGTTAAAAATTTGGTATTTGTGATGCAGCAAGCCCAGAGATAGTTGTGTACACTATGACTTTATATAAAATTCACTTTAATGTGTGATATGAATAAAAAGTGATCATAAACGAATGATTTCTCTACTCAAATGAGTGGCGGCTTGGACCCGGAAACAGTATTACATACATCACCAACACATCACCACTTCACAAGCGGATACCAAATAAAAAAAAAATTTCCCAACAAAATTAAGCTATAATAAGCAGTCAAAAATAGTTTCCATGTTTCCTGTTGCTATTTTTGGGTTGTATAACTATTTTTTTAACAGTCTTATCAGTTAACAATCCAAAGTAATTAAACACTTCACTTTGTAAATTGTTCTTTTTAAAAGATTGTCACAATTTTTGTAGCTACTAAATCATATTAACAGGAGCAGAAATGAACCGATGTGTGTTTGAACTGAAGCGTTAGAAAACGTGCAATAGGCTACAATAAAAGGCGGGAATTCTACACAGTTTTGCAACTTTAAAGGGCTCCACAAACTATTAAAATAAAATGGTTCATTGTTGCACAAACATGTGCGCATTTTAGTGACTTTTCCCTAATACGACACTATTTATCGTAAATACACCGTTAATGACGATACTACCGTTTACAAACTACAGTGGCACCGCCAGTATTTTGGAGCCATAGTATCGCGATATTACCATAGTACCGGTAAACCATGCAACCCTTCAATTTATAATACTAAAAACACCAATGCATGAAATATCAGTACAGTAAAGTAAAGCTGAGAACTAGTTAGCATCCCTCACCCGACATGACGATACAAGTGGATCAGGAAAGTACTTTAGATGCAGGTTACAGCCTTTCTGATGACAGATTACAATAACAAACGTCTTTTCATTGGAATGATGTGCAGGAATGTGCATTACGGAAGTAAAAATGTGTCATTTTATGATCTCTTTGACACATTTAGCAATCTTTAGCGGAAAATCTCTCCTTTAAAAACAAACCTCCAGCCCTCACTTCCTTATTATAAACTGTTTTTGCATATTTAGATGGACTTTCAATAGCAGAGCATCTACTGAAAGATAAAAAAAATGGTCTGCAGCTCTTACCTGAAAACCCCATAGGGGCTGAATATGCCGTTCCTCCAGTTTCAGTGGAAGCAGGCACAGAACCTGGAGAATCTGCGGAGAAACACAAGAGTGACAGCTGTCAATCACAGTGTTAAACACTCAACCTTTACTTACACACAGCCTTCATTTTAGTGGAAATGGTTTAAATCCAGAGCACGCTCGCTCATTCCATCGCCTTTTTCCGTCATGCTAAATAAACAACGCTTTAGCCAAGAACGCTAGCAAGCGAGCGAGAGCGGGAGTGCTGTAATAGGAATACACAGTTTAGCAGGATACACTCCATCAAGCCCAAAACAACGAGCTAGTCAGGAAATAGCTGCAGCCTTGAAAAACTGTGTACAGTAAATTTTCTAATTGGCGTGCGAGCAGACAGGAAAAACACCCCGTCGCTCCCTCTTTCATGTTAACCCTTTAATAAACCAGCCGGGAATATTGTCTCCATATGTTCTGCACCGATGTCACGTTTACTTAACGCTAAACTACTGCAGGAGAAAGTGCATTAGCCCTCAATGAAAGCCAATGCTAATTATAATGTTAGCTCATGATAAAAACAAAATTGTAGATTCAATTCGAAGCAGATTAAACTTGTGCTAACTGCAAACATCAGAATCTAGGTCTAAATGGCTAAAAGACGAGACTAATGCTAAGTTAAGAGGTGATTAGTGAGTTTGTGTTAGCCTCAGTCTGTTCCTCTTTAGCCATTGCTAACAGAAGTTCAGAAAATGTAGGTTCAAGTAGCTAAAAGCTAGCTGACACTGGAATTGAAATTGGATCTGTAATAATTTCTTAGTAAATACTGCATTCATTTCAGGGCTTATACATGAACTACGAAGAGCTAAAATGCTAAACAAAATTATCATATATGATTCAAGAGCAGTTTAGCTAGCAAGTTTAGAAACTGCTGACAAAAACATTAAAAATTAAAAGCACTTAAGTTAGCGTTAGCATTTAAAAAGACTTTAACAAGACTAAACAAACCATTTCAATGTCTTTACATTGATAAGCACCAATACATCTTAAATAAATTTAAGATTACTGACACTTGTAGGTATACACATCAGAAGAGTTTAACCCTTGCACTAAAGCTACTTAAGTCTATTTTATTACGTTTTAGGACATTTACTATGGTAATATCTTATATGTTTTCTAAAATCATTCCCAATTAATGAATTCCTAAGCAGTAAACAGTCCACTTATATGCACAATGCCATTTTAAGTTCATTAGTAAGCATTAGTAGATGGTATTTCCTGAAAAAGAGTTTTAAAAGCCCATTGTGAGTGTGAATTGGTGTCACTTTCGGAAGCAGGTTTCAGAGTTGGACGCTTTCCCTGAGCTGTGGTCAGTCTAATGAGACACACGGTCAAACCTGAACCTCACCGCAAAGACAGACCGAGGGAGGGAGAGGAAAAATGAGGGATCAAGCAGGAGCTTCAAACACCTCATGATTCATTTTCCAGGGGGCAAAAAAACAAGCCGTTTTTATAACAGAATCTTTGATACTGTCCAGCTCCAGCCATTCACTCGGTCTGCCTCCAATAAACAATGACAGAATAAAAATGTGTAAATCACTGTGTACATACACACAAGAAAACTAGTGGGATGGTATTTAAATGGTAAGAATGTCATGTTATTACCACTGCAAGTTTTTCAAAACAACAACAAAAAAAGCTTCTGCATAAAATGAAACTTCAAGTGGTAAGAATACTATAGTAAAAGTCAAAAACATTTACTGCAAGTGATCTTAATGCAAACTAAAAACCCCCACATACAGCTCATCTTAGGCCGTACTCACACACTAGGTACAGTTGCCTCGAACCGGGCCAAAGCACGTTTGTCCCCCCTCCCGTCTCCCCCGACGGCCCGCGCTCACACCCCAAACAGGCTTCGGCACGCTTACGTCATCGCTGCTGCGCTGTTCAGTGAGAAACACTCTCTCACTCAGCAGCACAGTGGAGATTTCTGTAGTTATATTGTTTCAGTCGTTTGATATGCAGTCAAATATTTCGCCAAACAGTCCTTAGGGATGCGGGGACACGCAGTCAGATATTTCGCCGTACAGATCCGCCACTTTTGGCGCTCATAAACAATCATAAAGCTCTCATGCTGCAGGAATGAGGAGGTCTGCTGAAGGCGCGCAGCTGACGTGCAGTGAGGGGTTTGCGTCTTTAATAAACTACGGCAGTTTGCGTTCACTGAACAGTAAGAATGATTAATAAATCCATATGAAACAGCCACTTAAAAGTCATGTCTCGCTTTCAGTTTAGGGGTTTGGCGTTAGCACTCAAACACAAGCGTGCACAAGTGTGAGTACGCCCTTAAGCTTCAACTTATTAAGTTGTGTCTGAAAATTATTAGAATGGTATTATCATGTTTCACCGCTGTAAATACCGCCAAATAATTATTTGTATCAATAATCGAACTGCTCAAATTTACTACTAAGATTGTCTACATTTATTGTAAGAAATTGGTGTTAACAGCACTTCCCAAAACAATGACAGTTAAAGCAGATTAAATACGTGTAAATCACTGTGTGTACATAGAAACTTACAAGACAACTTACAAGAAAACTAGTGGGATAGTATTTAAATGGTAAAAATACCATGGTATTACCAAGTTTAAATTAACCGCTTGTTAAGTGTGACGTCACGCGAAGCGGCTTCCGGGTGATTTAATACTTTCGAAAGTCACGATCGCAATATATATGTCCATGCCTATTATCCAATAGCCAGAAAGTAATTCATTTTTTTATAAATTGTTAAAATTTTGGTATTTGTGATGCAGCAAGCCCAGAGATTGTTGTGTACACTATGACTTTATATAAAATTAACTTTAATGTGTGATATGAATAAAAAGTGATCATAAACTAATGATTTCTCCACTCAAATGAATGGCGGCTTGGACCCAGAAACAGTATTACATACGTCACCAACACATCACCACTTAACCAGCGGATAGGGAGTTTTTAAAGATAGGTGGAAGAGTAAGAATACGACGGTAAATGTCTAAAAACATCTACTGCAAGTGATCTTAAACCCAAATTAAAGAAAAAAAAAAAACTTAAACCTCATTTTAAGCTGAAACTTCAACTTAAGTTGTGTCAGAATATGATTAGAATGGTTTTACTATATATTACCGCTTTAAATGCCCCCAAATCATTATTTATTTCAATTCTCAAACTGCACTACTAAGATTGTTTACATGTAAGGTAATGTAAGAAATTGGCATCAACAGCACTTCCCAAAACGATGAAGGTAAAAGCTGATTAAAAATGTGTAAATCACTGTGTGTGTGTGTGTGTGTGTGTGTGTGTGTGTGTGTGTGTGTGTACAGAAACAACCACAGTCAACCACATTTGACTAGCTCTTGACACGACTTTTTGTCTGTCATTACAAGTGCGAATGTTTCTTTTTCTCAGTCGCGTCTCCTCGATTAAGAGCTTAAAGCCATTGATATGCAAATGACCTCACATCAACGGCTGTTTTGTCGCACCTAGCCGTCAACAATGCGCAAATGTGTCACAGTTACCACACAAACAGACACATATATGTGTGTGTGTGACAGTACCTGACGTTATCAACGAGACGCAGTCGCTCAAACACAAGCGACAAATAACTTCCTCCAAACGTTCAGCATCACTCTCTCTTTCACCCGTCTTCTATTGTTCTCTGTCTCTCGTCCAAGATTTAATGGATGAGTGTGTGTGTGTGTGTTTAAATGTGTGTGTGTGTGTCCTCACAGGAAATGTCCTCCCCAAACTGGCTTTCCTGTCCTCCACCACGGCGCCTGTTCTCGTTCACATTCTTGCTTTCTCTCTCAGTCGCTCCGAAACCCCAAACTGATTCATAAAAGAAGAATGACTCAAAGATGGAGAGCCAGCGTTGAGTCGTTCCCACACCAAGTCACTCGCACTATAAACATCACCAAAAAATTAATCGTGGAAAGATTTCGAAACAGCCCAGCGTTCTGGCCTGGATTTCTCAAGCGTGTTCTGGGTAAGCGATACTGTTCAACTCAAAAAGACGTGAGGAGTTTTTGGCCGGGATTGAGAAGGATCTTTACGAGGGCCATCGGCAGGAAACCTCATCCGGGACGCTGCCAAACACAACATGCTTATCTGAAGCCAATATACAGGACATACTTATGAGCATTATGGGTAAGAAAGAGAGCAAACGCTCAGAGGAAAGACGCAAAGCGGCACTCCCAAAACCTCAAGATTCATTTGGCAGATAAATCAGCTCTCGGTTTCCGAACTCTTCATCTACTCCACGCACAAACATTTAGACGGAGGAAAGTAGCATTTGCTTCAATATAACATCACGCTATATTCATTTTCAACTGCAACATACTTTTAATCACTAGCACTGTGCAGTTATTTGAATATGTTATTCAATCTGTACCACATATAGTAAAGTTTGTGTACATATAAAATATACACCATAAAATGATTACTATTTTTTATACCACAGTGCAATGTCTAAACGACCTATCAAACATTGTACAATTCACCACACGGTGTAATTTCATTATCATTGCATTTAGCATGGTACTAAAAGAATACAGTACTCATGACCATTATATTTGCATCAAGCTATTACTATAGCAAATGTCTGAAAACCTCAAATGCAAGTGATTTCCAACTTAAGCTGACTTATGAAGCATCCACATCGCTCTAAATTTCAGTTTAAAAATTGTTGGGATGGTAATTAAATGAGTGTACACATGTCCAAAAACACTTTGCTAATGATTGTCAAGAACTCAAGATAAGCTTTTAAGAGATTCAACAACATGTGCAGTTGTATTTAGGATACAGCATCAATTTACAAGAAAGCTAGTTGGATGGTATTTAAATGGTAAGAATACCATCGTATTAGCATTACACATTTAAAACAAAAACAAAGAGCTTCTGCTTAAGCTTGAAATTAAAGTTCAAATTATAGGGAGTTTTAAAAATATAGGTGGAATGGTAGGAATACCATAGTAGACATTTACTGCCAATGATTTTGAGCTCAAACTAAACCTCCAAACTAAAAAGAAAACAACATAAACCTCATTTTCTGGCTGAAACTTCAACTTAAGTTGTGTCAGAAAATGATTAGAATGATTTTACCATTTATTACCACTGTAAATGCCCCCAAATTATTACTTCTATCAATTTTCAACTGCTTAAAACTTACTACTAAGATTGCTTACTGTTTACATTAAGTAATTTACAGTACTAAAGGAATACAGTACTCATGACTATTATATTTGCATCAAGCTATTACTTTAGCAAATGCCAGTGATTTCTAACTCAAACTGACTCATGAAGCATCCATATTGGGTTAAATTTTAATTAAAAAATTGTTGGGATGGTAATTAAATAAGTGAATCCCGGTTTTCTGATTGCATATGTCTAAAAACACTTTGCTAATGATGTTCAAGAACTCAAGATAAGCTTTTAGGAGATTCAACAGCGCCTGCATACATTTAAGATAAAGCATCAACTTACAAGAAAGCTAGTTGGATGGGATTTAAATGGTAACAATACCATGGTATTAGCATTGCGAACTTAAAACAAAAACAAGCTTCTACTTAAACTAGAAATAAAAGTTATTATAGGGTAAATTATAGGGTGTTTTAAAAATAGGTGAAATGCTTGGAATACTATAGTAAAACTAAAACATTTACTGCAATTGATCTCAAACTCAAACTAAACCTCCATACTAAAAAAACAACAACATAAACCTCATTTTTTAGCTGAAACTTCAACTTTAGTCGTGTGCAAAAACTATTAGAATGATGTTACCACTGTAAATAACCACAAATCATTATTTATCTCAATTTTTAAACTGCTTAAAATTTACTACTAAGACCTTTTACATTTAAAGTAGTGTAAATAAATGGTGTTAAAACATTGTGATAACATCTTTAAAAAAACCTTCACTGCGAGTAATATTAAAACTAAAAGTACGCTTTAAATGTAGAATTAAACTGGCTAATTCACATACTATTTCACAAGAACATGGTATTTTCATAGTAAACATAACAACAAAAAAAATTTGCATTGCATTTCAACTCAAACCAAACTTTTGAGAGGCTTCAGACATCTGCTTAAATTTAAGATGAAACTTCAACTTACCAGGTGGTTTAAGAAAATCGGTGGGATATCTTGAGTACGGGGGTGGGGGGGATTCTGGAAGAGAAGAAAGAGAGAGAGAGAGGCCGTGAGTGGAGATGTGGGCTGATGATAAGGCCTGGCATTCTCTGGGAAAAGTGTTTGTGTAGTGCTGAGGGTTAGAGGCAGGACAGCTCTGATAAACACACGGCCGCCTGGCGCCAGACTCCACACACACACACACACACAAACACGCACACACACACAAACTAACTTCACTGAACACTGGGGCCTCCGGCGGGTTTCACATGAACAACCACAGACTGGAGGTCCAGCTGAAAAGTCTGTTGCATTTCTCCACATGGAAACACAACATTCATCACTCGGAGAATAATAATTTTAATCAGAACCAGCTGATTCCTGATGCTAATGGCTTGTTTGATTAAATAGTAAGGTAGATTAATAAAGCCTAAATGTGTCTAACATTGTTATATATGCTAAAATAACTTACATATGTTTTCTCCAAGTCAACAAACACACTCTTGATGTCTGTTTTAATATGTCTAACGCAAATATACTATCATCGTCATTCTATTTGAGCATTTTTAGTAAACAAGAAGTATGTCAGACACACTGGAGCCTGAAGTGCTGCATTCATGAGCCAACATTGATGTTTAGCAGGAAGCTTGAGGTTATTCTCACCTAGTAGATTTTACAATAACCTACATGTGTGTCATTATAATGCTACATAAGCACCATAAGAGCCTTTCACAATGGCCAGAACAGTTTGAGTTCAAATCCCCCAGTGTTCTCTGTTCTATACGGACCTGTAATTAGATACCACAGCTTATACGAACGTTATTACAATCCTACATAAGCACCAAAGCCAAAAGAAACCAAGATTTGTGTTCAAGAGACATATTTAGCACATTATCACAGTGTTATACATCAACATCAGTGGTGAATGTGAGCAGATTGATGTTCATACCGAGCTCGCAGAGTCTGCTCATATGATGCGGGTTGCAGCACACGAGCTCCGGGTTGATTTTCCCATAAGATTCACAGCACGAAAGTCTCTTTAATTCCGAGGAGTGCCGGAGGTCCGGCCACCGAAACACCTTGTAGAGCAGCAACGGCAGCGGGTACGACTGTTGACCCAGCCTGGCGTCCGCTTTCCCGGGCAGGAGGAGGCAGGGGCTCCGCGCTCCCCCCCGGGATTCAACCGCCTGTAAAAGCACCTCCAGCTGCTTCTCCTTGATCTTCTTCAGGATCGAGTATGTCAGCGCTTTTAGTTCGGCCTCGGTGCCGGGGTTCGGCTTACTGGCCAGGCAGCAGCCTGCGGTGCCGCCGCGCGTACCAGTGTCCGCGTCCCCCTCACCCTCCACGGGCGCGCGGCTCCTCCAGAGTCGCCGGACGAGCCCCGATCGTTTGGTCCTGAACATGCGGGACGACAAGAGGGTTCCCCGGCTACAAAACGGCCATTTTGTCCGCAAGTCATGAAGATCCGGAGGTCCGAATCCACAGGCGCAGAGCAGACGGCGGAGAAACGGCGAGCAGGAGAAGCGCACGCGATCTGTTTCATACGCCAGACTTTAATATTTCACCAAACCAACCGACGCGGAATCCAAAAAAACTGTGCGACTGTCTGGAAATGAAACGACCTCGAATCGCGGTCACACCGAGTGCGCAATCATCGATCCACAAGTTCGTTAATCCACAGCGACCATCCGCGATCTCACATTCGGGATTAATAACCGTTTTCTCGGTCTGGCATCAAATCTGCAGCACAAACCGACACGTTAAATCGTTAAATCCACATCAGACCCGCTGAGGAAAATCTGTCGCTCTCCTCGACGGCGATTCGGAAAAAAAACAGGTTTGCGTTTGAAATATCCACCACAAAAAAATCCGTGTCCCGGTGATCGGTAATGCGGGAAGTTTCCTAGTGCGAGACGCAGAAGAGTCGATGAAGAACTGAAGGACTGAGGAGGAGATGAAGATCAGACGCCTGTGTGTGTGTGTGTGTGTCCCTCTCTCTCCGCGTCTCCGTGTCTCTCATTGGCGCGCCGCAGGTCATGTGATTGTCTAGACACCCTGTCGCTTTAAAAAAAAGAAAGAACAGGCAGGAAAAAGTCATTGTGTTGCGCAAACATAAAACAAAGTAACATGTACCGTCAGACTGACACATCGGACACCGAGTTTATAAAGTCACAGATGGATTTAGAATCGTGTGTTTGTACTATTTGTACTGTAGTGCTATGAGGGACGAACTGTAGTTTCAAATGTGAACGCACACACACACACACACATACACACACAAACAGGCGCCAGGCGCACAGGTAAGTTCACATTAAGTATGGACACACACACACACACACACACACACACACACACAGACAGACAGACACACATAGAGACAGACAGAATCAACTCAACAAATGTTTATGAAGCAATCAAGACATGTTTACATGGAAAAATACTTTTCCATGAAGTCTGGAAATATTAAATGGTTTACACAAATGTAGTAAATACACAATATACAATTATGTTTATATATTTAATATTAAATTGGTATATAATTATTATTATTATTTTTATATACATATTTATTGATGTTATATATACGGAATTCTCAATATACTATGGATTGTTAAATTTTAAAATCAATTGGTTTGTTTACTATTATTATTATTACTATTATTATTATTACATTTATAATTACTATTATTATTATTTGTAGTATTATTATTATTTGTATTATTATTATAATTGTTACTATTACTATTATTAACATTATTACATTTAGTATTATTATTATTATTACAATTATTAATATCATTATTATTACCTTTATTTTTACAATTGTTATTATTACAATTATTATTACAATTATTATTATTATTACAAATATAATTAATATTAGTTATTATTATTATTATTATTATTACCATTTTATACATTTTATTTAAAAATTTCCAAATAGTATTATTGTTTTTTTATATTGTATACTATATTATTTTATTATTTATATTATTTTGCATTGTATTTGGATGACTATTATCATCATTTTTGTTGTTGTTGCTGTTCTACCAAATATTTATATTACATGAATATTTAAATTAATTTGTCTTATTAATTATTATTATTATTATTATTATCATCATGTTTGATTGTGTGAATGGATTTCCTCTATAAAAACTCACGAACTGCTGCCGCCTACCGGTTAGAAAAATTACACATTTTTAAAGTAGACACACACACACACACACACACACACACACACACACACACACAGACACACGCAGTTAGTATAATAAAAAAAAAAATTTTTGAGGTTGTGCAACGAGTTTTGGTGCATCAGATGAGTCACAGTTTACACACACACACACACAATACAAATGCAATCTCCAAACCACTCAAGAGCTTTCATCTGTTCATCAGTAGCTCGATCTTTTCAAAACACTCAATGCTTTCGCGGGGTTTTGGGGAATGAAGGGGGTCGCGCGCTCTGATCATTGACGGACACAAAGGCGCGCGGCGGGGGAGCGTGGGTCACAGGCGGCCGGCGCGCGCTCAACTGTTTTTATTATTATTACTATTTTAATTATTATTATAATGCTCAAAAACGGTGCATACAATATTAAGGTATACATAAAATAACAAATATGCAAAATACATATATCCTTAATGATGAAAAACAACATAAAAAGAAAGAAAACAGAAAAACAAAAAAAAACACGAGGGGTATTAAACAACACATATTGAAAAGGCTAAATATATAAGTCAATAAACGTTTGCAAACAGATCTTTTAGGCTTTTTGTTGTTAGATGATTTTTGCAATTACAGATCTGCACAAATTATTCAATAAAAACACTAAACAAAGGCCTGGAGGTTGAAAAACTGGACTTATGAATGTAAAGATGTATATAGAGCAAAAACAAATTCACGGCGCGCGCTCATCCAACTGTCTGTCGGGTCAAACTGACTGAATGACGAAATCGGCGGCGCGCAGCAGATCTCTGTGTGTGTGTGTGTGTGTGTGTGTGTGTGTGTGTGGCCGTGACGTCAGCAGCAGCTTTCCTAACGAGATCTAAAAACGAGCGATTGAAGAAACGAAATGAACAGAAATTAAAGTGAATCAGCGCGTCATTCATAACAGTCTGAGTAGGAGATAATGATGACGTCGATGATGACGATAAAGAGCTGCCATTGTTCGAGGATTCAGACTGGCGCCGCTCGAGCTGATGAAGATCTGCTGCTGTCACACAATCACCAAACACTGCACACCATCTCCTTTCAACTCATTCATCTTCTCTTCTCTGGCTTTTTTTTATTTATTACAATTTTAAGACCATACAGAATAAGAAAATAAATACTTTTTCCCGACTATGCCCTCACAATTAAATAAAATAAAATGTATTCAGTTGTAAAATGTATCATTTAAAATGTATTAATTAAAACCAACATATCTCTTTTCTGTCTTTTTAAATATGTTTAGTAGCTGTAATTTCTATATTTGGTCTTCTTATATAAATACTTTAATAACATTTTCATTAACTTCTTTTATTCCTTTAAATTGAGACACTATTTAGTTGTTTAATTGTTAACTTTAGCAGTTATTTAGCTATATATTTCTTTCTTTAAACACTAAGTAGCCTTTAGTAGCCTATTTTCTTTTTTTTTCGATTTCTTTAATATTTTCAGTGACCAATGTAAAATATTTATTTATTTTTTTTCTTTTTGTTAATTTAAAGATTTGATTGTTTATTTCTATTTCATTTATTACAATATTTTTTAATCTATCAATTCAATTTAGGACTTTTTTGTATAGTTATTATAAATTATTTCGTTATTATTTTTTACTTTTATATGAACTACTCTTACTACCATTATTAATGTTGTAATTATTGTTGTATATATTAGGCTAGTTTTCTCCACATTTTTCTTACTTTTCTCATTTTCCCCCTTTTTTATTTAATAATAATAATTTTTTTTCTCTTAAAATTCAATCTACTATCTGTGCCACTGCACTGCCCTTGTTTATTTATTTGATTTATTGTAAAAATCTATTTTACAATTTGACACATTCAAGCCACTGCAGAAATCTTCTAACAAACAGGCCCATGTCATATTCAGTACAGATGCTTAATAAATAACACACTATAAATTAAAAGCATTAACGTGTGCCATATATTTTTGGTTTCACAAGCTTTGGAGACCTAACGTAAAGTACGCTTTTAAATAACGGGTCACCTATAGCTTTCGTCATGAGCCATGGCTGCGTTCAAAATGGCATAATGGCTTTCAAAGTGCACTGCGAAAGGAACGCAATTGTCAATATGAAGATCACTAAAACTGAAGTGTAAAAATGAATTAAAGCAAATTACACTAAAGAGTGATGACCTTAATGTGTTTAAATCATTCCAAGTTTAAATGTTAGAATGTTCCAAACAAATAGGGCATAGAGGGGATAACTGACAATAGAACATAGCCGTGCTTCTAACTGCAGCTCTAGAGGTCTAGTTGCAATCGTACAAATTTGCGACGCAGTTTGCGAATGTTTGTTGGAATGACGGATTTGGGAAACGGCAAATCAATGAACTATGTTTGTTATGATGCAACTTGCGACCTCAGTTGGCTTACGGTGGTTTTCAAAAACGCACCCTTTGGGGATTGAGCGACTAACAATCTACCTCATGAAAACTAGATGTTACGAATCACCAATATGGTGCAGCTAAACATCAACTTCGATATAAAATGGCCCTGGAAGTAAATAAGTAATTAAATAAGTATTTGTTTGAGTATAATTAATACCTTAAATACTCTTTTATTTTAAAGCACACTGTAAAACCCAACAGTCAACTTTATTAAATGAAATAAGTGTAGTCAACTCAAAATTTACTGATAGTAATACTATTCATTTAAAAAGAGTTTACCTCAGTGTGGAAGGTAATGAGTTATTTAAATACCTCATTACTTTAACTTAGTTTCCTCAACTGGTTTCCTCAAGCAGTTTGAGTTGCCCTAACTTATTGGTTTTACAGTACTTAGTTTGCTTAAGTTCTCTTCTTTTCTTTGGTTTTACTGTGCTCAAATTGCTTCGTTTACTCAATTGGATTAAGTTGACATGACTCAGTAGGGGTGTCATGATTTCGACTTTAAATCGAAATCGATCAAAATTTATGCTCAATTTCGATTATCGAATCAAAAAATAGAATCGTCGATGCTGCCACGCCCCCATGTCACATCAGCTTGGCTTGCCAAGCGGGAAAATAACAGGCTTGTTGAAGTGCTTGTTAAACTGCAGAAGCAGGAGACCCGTTGACAGAACTTAAACCCTCTCCTCTTTCAATGAAGTCGCCGATGTGTAAGCATTTTGGATTTCCAGTGAGTTATGTTGACAACGTTCGTGTTGTCGACAAAAAGACACAGTTTTGCAAGCTCTGCTATGTACGTATTACGTACGGTTCGTCCGATAGACAACACCGGCATCGCGATCCTCCGCCCGCCCCCGTTGCAAATCCGCTCGCGAAAAATACACACTCAGGCCCTGTTTACACTGTCTTTGTTTTTAAAT